GGTCAAATCATTTTTTTCTCTTTTAATATGTAAAATGCATGTTATTGACATAACATAAAAATGCAGTATATACGCGAGGCACTATAATCAACTTTATTGCTTACACTATTTTTTTATACACACGATAACATAATAATACCACCCCGCTTACTTAAACGAACATCATATATACACAAAATCGTCATGCAATAGTATACAAAAACCAAGACCATAAGTTGTAACAAGAAAATATAATTAACAAAAAAAAACTCAGTAAATCAAGCCAAACACCATTAATTTCCACAAAATTACATTTTGAAACAAATCATCGAACTGATGATCTTGACGAACCTCACTCTATTCCTGGCCATCTTTTCTAGCTGAGAAATAAAAACAATACAAAATATGCATAGATTTTAATTTCAGACATAAAAAATAGGCATTATAGTGAAGTGTGATGGATATATACTATGAAAAAGTTTCGTAAAAGAGGTAAATTTACGTGAGAGCGAGGAGATCTGAGAGGTCTTTAAAACGTGCAATCTCTTCACAGTCGATACAAACATCCTACAAAATAAGATAAACTATATCATTCATTTTCCAATGAAGAAATTATTATCAGTTTATATAATTAAGTTTGACCACGAGTTTCTAGTCTAGTGATTTGTATTAGTATAGTTATCATGTCATAATTTAGATTTAAATACCGAAGTGTGAGTTATATTAGATAATAAGTGTAAGTCAAAATTGAATTGATTTGATTTGATTCAACTTACTCCCAAGGAACATCTCCGACAAGAACTTTGTCACCTTCCGTGTCTTCATAGACCAAAGTGTATTGTCTGTTGAGATCCAACGGATCTTTCTTAGAGAATAGTTGGTCAACGGCATGTGAAAGCTGTTGGTAGTTGTTAAAAGCAGAGAGGTTGACTTTTCTTCCGATTGGAACTCCTTCCATGTTGATCTTAACGTACAACTCCTTCTCTTCATCACTCTCTCTCTTCTTTAGGTTTCGCCGGGATGATCTCACCGGCGGCCATCCCACCACCGGAGCTGCCTCAACCCTGTCTTAACGTTAGCCATTTGTAACTATATAAATTGATCGGAGAAATCTATATAGTTTGATGTTCTTGCCATTCAAGACATATATAGTGGCACAAAAAACCGATTGTAAAACAAGTTAATTGCCTGTTATTGGAAAGAAATGATGTTTCTTTGGTCAATCCATTGTTGTTGGAAGTGAACTGGTGGTAGGGAGGAGCTAGCCTTAGCTCCAATCTCTTCTCTTCTTCCATTTGCTAA